GAAGTACACTGCTGAGGGGAGCAGCGGGCGGGTCAGGAGGAGTCTGCCACAGCATGTGGATCTCCTCTGGGGCAGGCAGGGATCGAACTCATGTGCAAGTGGTTTAAGCTTCTTAGTGCTGTGCTTTAACCCGCTGCGCCACCAGGGAGGGCCTAAGCAGTACCACTTTTACTCATTTATCTCACACCAAATGAAGTGTGTCACTTTTCATATAAGACCAGAGACACTTTTCATATAAGACCAGAGACACTCTGTAGGGCAGGAGGAAGAAAGATCAGGACAGGAGTGGGAAGAGCACAAGGGACTATGGAGATCCACGGGTGAATAGTGCTGGGAATTTCATGGGGAAATCATTGTACATTGTATAAAAGTGAAGGATGTTATAATGAATGTATTTTTAAATTTTAATTAAAAGAAAAGAGGCAACTCCTCCAAGAAAAGGACTTGCCTTTCTCTTTCTACCAAAGCAAGAGACACCCAAATATAGATAGATAGATAGTTTATATAGCTGAGCTTGTGAAACTAGAGGGAATATAAGGGAATCATGGTTTTTGTCCTTGGGACTAACGCTTACATATGAAATGACTTAGGCACAATTACAAAGTAATATAACTAGTATAAGTTCATATAGTACTGATGGAATACATAGTAGATGAGAGTGACTAGAGTATGATTAGAATATATGTTGCCTATACTTAACTGTAATTTTTCTTGATTTTTAATAATCTTTTACTAACTGCAGTACTCAATGTCCAGATAACTATAACTAGATATAAAGTTAAGTAGATGACTGAAGAGCTAAAAAGAGAAGTCTAAGATATGACAGAAGTAGCAACTTACCACTTTTAGGAGTGAAAACAAAGGAAGCGAAGAAAAAAATTAGTGACACTACAGAACTAAAACAGATGTCTAAGAAGAAGACCTTGGTATTTCTGAGTTTAGAGGAAGGGCTCCGTAGGACCCAACCCAAGAGGTCTAGGATGCAGATCTCGATGGCAGGGACCATTGTTTGACTGGTGTTAGTGTCTTTGATTGATTAAAACTACAGAACTGGAGAAAAGCTACAAAATGGATTCAGCTATTGCTACAGAAAGACCCTGCTATTATCCAGGATGAAGTAGCATTGTTGGGTGAAGCACACAGGAAGACAGACAGGAGAAACATATCTCTTGTCTTTCCTCAGCCTTGAAGTCTCCTTTGGTGCCCTCAAATAGGCACCCAGTTAGGGAAAGGGAGTTCCCAAGAGCTACACCTTGGCCCTTTATACTATAAGGGTTCTTATTCCAAAATCGAGAATCAGTATGTTAGATACAGTTATGGTATTTATTGTAATTATACATACAGGAACTGATGAAAACACCACAGAATGTTTGGATGCACTGTGAACTAAGACTACCTCCTACCTCTCTACCACAAGCCCTTACTTAAACTGGTAAACTACAGTGGCATTTTGGGTTTCCAGTAATTAACATTTTTCAGTTCTAATGTTTGGAAATATCTAAAGAAACTGGATATTTCTTTTTATCCCAGCACACAGTAATTTTGGAAATGGCCACAGGTCCTGTGAAGAAAATTTTCAATATATATTAATGGCAGTGCTTCAGAATCCTTCCTTAAGGGCACCTTGCCTTCCCTTCAATTAAGGAGCTTAGGTCTGGAAACTGGATGGGAGGTCACAGTTCTCTACTGTGGTGAATATAGTTATATGTTGGATTTCTTATATGAAGATGATCATCATTTTAGTAGACTAGCCACCTATTTCATTATAGGATTCCCATAATCATTTGGTCACAAAAATCCCTGAGGGTGAAAAAAAAATCTCATTATCACTGTATTTTACACGGCAAAGAGAAATGATAATGTGTGCCAGAGCCCAGGATTAGAGCGAGGGGCAACATTTAAGGTATACAATTTACCTTCATTCTCTCTTCCCCCAGCAGACTTCTAGTATTTGCTGATAAAGTTACCTTTCTAAAAAAAGAATTTTTTTTATTATATCTGTTTATGCTTAAATTTATAGAACAAAAGGTTTTGGGGCAGCTATTTTTCAGTGTTTGAATCTTTTGTCTCCTAAGACAGTACTTTTGATTTATTCAACTAAAAGGTGTTAATAAAAAAATTGAATATTGTAGCATGCTATACAATTTCAAACTAAGTAACACCTAAGTTTTAACTGCCCTAAATATATATATATGT